TAAGATGAAAAAGTATCATATTAGCCTCTACAAAATATTGCAATAAATATACTGTGTATACTCTGAAAATATCATGCTTTAATATCATGCTCATGAGAGATTTGATATTGTTACATTCCTAATCGTGAGCCTCTCCACCATTTCGCAATAAATATTACCGTGAGGTTCATGTTGTTACGATATCGTATCGTGAGACTTGGATATTGTTACACCCCTAATGTATGGAATTATCTTTTTAGCTAAATTTAAAGGGCCCATTACATAATTTTCTGATCTATGTAATTATTTTGTAGCCAGACTGGCCCCACCTAGTGCCTCCACTCAATTTCATTTCTCTCGAGCGACTAGGTCAGGAATCAGAATACACAGTTCGCAAAAACCCCGGAAGTGTGAGTTTGGGCAACAGCCAATCAGTGAAGAGCCATACATTCTCTGTTGGCAACGATTCCCAAGAAAGAGAATGTTTGGTGAACAAAGAGAACAAATAGAATGTTTGGTGAATTTTATCAAGGGGAAAGACATTATTGCGCTTATTCCTACGGGATTTGGGAAAAGCTTAATATTCCAGTTAGTCCCACTTGCAGCGATTGGTTAAATGAAAAAAGTACCCGCCTACTGTCAAGCAAACAAATTTTAATGCTGCAAGGTCAGACTGATAAATCAGGCTAATAATCTTGTTTCCTCATCGAAAACATACCTGGAGTTGTGTTTTTTTGTGTGTTTTGTTTCATTGTTTAACACACAAACCTGCATATTTAGACTGTGTTCTTCTCTCAAACGAAAAACACTCTTTCCACCTTGTGATGTCATATGATAATACAGGAAGTCCATACACCTTCATTAGACTCACTTGGATCATTTCAGTCCTGGAATTGCCAGTCTCTACTGAACTAAAGATAAAAGGTAGCTGTTAACATTAAAAAATGACCGTTTTGTTACAAGGTGGAACAGAGCATTTTAAGCTTTGGAGATATAGACTATAATGAAGGATTACTCAGACATGTCTGAATGAAACAAAACACTACTCCAGGCATGTTTTTGAGACAATATACAAGCTCACATGAGTCAGTTTTCTGTAATATAGGACTTTTAAGAACTATGCATACTATGCAAGTAGTTAAAATTTCCTCAGTGCCACTTTGGGTTGCAACTGTTTTTAACATTGTCAAACTACTTAAAATGTTTCGAATCTATTAATTTATCATTTCTGGTGCTCTAAGTTCAAAGCTTTATTTAAATGGCACTTTCCTGGCATTTTGTTCCAGCCATGCACTTTTAACTTTATGAATAACTACCCATTACTTAACCAGTGTAATATACAATATAAAACTGATTATCAGTAATTTGATAATACATTATGTCAAATAAATCACTAAATAAAATATATGCATTGATATATGCATTGATAGACACATGTTAAGACTAAACACTATTCTTTCTACCTGCATATTAATTTTGAGATTGGCTCCACAAGGTAAAAGTAATTGGAAAGCTGTTGGAGTTACCGCAGTACCACTGCTAGCACAGTAGGGGGCTGATTAAACACTGATAGAGTTTGAAGGTTATAGTCTTTGGTGTGTGCTGACCTCAACAATACTGTCCTTCAAATAACACAAAATAATAGTATGACAAGGTGGTGACTAATACTAGATCTTTGAAAATAAAAATGACCGTATGGTAGAAATATGCTGCATCTACAATGGGCTGCAGAAATCCTACATAAAGATGGCTTCAGATCTGTTTCATTGTACGGGATCAAAGGGAATGTCTAAATGCAGTGGACCATGGTTGTGAGCTTTAAAGTTACATTTGATTTAGGGCACGATGACTTTCTGAAGTACGAGTAATATAAAGAAATCATCTTCTATAAATTCCGCATGGCTTTAAACTTGAGTGCACTCTTCCCTCCATCTCTGAGTAAGTGCTTTAAATCAGGCATCTATCAGAGCATATGGGCACTCCAGTCTGTGTATCTTTATGTATTGTGGCGCTTGATAAATTTGCCCTACTTTTTGGAGATGTAGATGGTATCAGAATGGGCAAAGACAAAAGCAAAGTCAGAGAGAGAAAGAAAACTATAAACATTAGTTATTATACAATAGCAACTTGCAATTTGGGTTAAAGTTAGAAGTGTATCAAGGGGAATCCGGGGAAGAGGTCTGCTTTGAAGACTGGGAGATGGAGTCAGCATGGAGGAGATTAGACAAATGTGGCCGGTGGCACTCACTTCCTTCTATGCCATATGGATTTGAAGCCCAGCGCTCTTGGCCAAGGTTTAAAATAGCTCAGAGATTTTATGTGGTTTTATTTTATGACTGCAAGTCACCTCAAGTGGAAACTCTGCAGGTTCAAAGGTGGAATGGGTGCCTTGGGGCAGGCTTATGTAAGCAAGGCTGCCAATCTGCACCATCAACCCCTCCAATGACCACCAACACTCACACACTAACCATTTTCATACTAGGCAATGTGTCTTGCCGAAGGACACAAAAATAGTTTTGCCACTGGCCCCCCCATTACGGCACCTGATTTTCTCAGTGGTCTCCCATCCAAGTACTAAGCCGGTATGGCTACTTTTAACTGGATTGAAAAGTACTTTTCATATTATTTTAGGGGTTATTGTCACCATGTTTGTGGTAACATCCTCAGTGTGTTTTTGTCCAAGCTTTGGCTTTAAGCAAACAAGAATAAATACACAAAATTCATCTGAAAAAATAACAAATTGATTCGTATTTCAACTGTTAAAAAAAATATGTATCATTTTTAATCAGTATCACTACATTTTAACAAATTAATTAATACTTGAAATATGTGAAATACTTTTACTTTTTACTCTTAATATACATTTTTAAATGGGTAATTAAATATTTTTACTTAAGTAGATTTTTTCATGTTATACTTTTACTTTCACTTGAGTAACTTTTTACCTCTGTATCTGTACTTTTATGTAAATAACAAAATTGAATACTTCATCCACCAATGTTATTTGACTACCACATTTCTGTAGCTGAACTAAATTCTTATATTTTTACTTTATGTCTTTGGTCTGACCTTTTAAGTGTTTAAACCCAAAGTATTACTGTACAAATCAATGGGACAATTGCACACAATGTCATCACTTTCATAAGGTTTCTTCTCAAATGGTCTTTTAAACCCTCTATTTTTGCCATTGCCTATTCAGCCTAAAGGATATCAGTGGTCCCAGGAGCTCCCTAAACCTCCTCCTTTTCTCTTCAACTGTTTGGATTTATAGGATTTTACCTGTTTTCAATCCCTGCTCTGGGATACGTGCCACTTTTTTGACATTCTGTTTTCACAAGCAAGCGTTAAAAATTATGATATGATATTATTTTTGTCCTGCTAAAAATGCAGGTTTGTCAGACGGTTGACATTCTGAGCTTTAGCAGGGAGGAGATCACAGTTGTCATTTTGCATGTTGGAGAAATGCTGATTCGACAGACCGGTGGAAACCTGGGTAAACGTTGCCATGAGCGAAGAGTTAAAGCAGGGCTGCTCTAGCTGCTCCTGGCCCTGTTCTGTTGAATCTACTGTAAATAATACCTTTTGGTTGGTGATATAGGCCTTTTCTGCGCTGGGCTGCTATGCCAATACCCTGTCATCCATACACTGCTATATGAGCTGTTGGCCATAATAAGGTACTTTTAAGAATTATTTATGATGTCAGACCAGTCCAGTATTGGAAAAAGCATATAAAAAAGTGCTGATCTTTGGGTTAAGAAAAATAACTTTTTTTTAGCTGATATGCACAAATTTACTTAAAAAATGTATTTATATAGAAAATATATACATTTGTTATATAGTAAAGGCTCTGTATGTTTTTAGCTGTTTTTTTTCTACAGAAAGTGAGTTGGGACAGTTTCATTTTCTCTGGTGCCTTATTAGACCTTTTACAGCTGACAGCGTTGCTACTTTGTTTTGTGGTTTTATTTCTGCCAGATCAATGATTATTGCCCCTTTCTTATTTGTGCAACAAATCAGAAACATCTCAGTATTGACTTTTCAGTAACTTCACGATAAGTCTATTCTAAACCCTATTCGCCTACAAATTGGTTGGGTCTCTATCTCTGAATGTCAGTAGATACACGATTGCCAAAGAATAGAAACACTTGAAACATGAGCTCCTGACTTCTGTTTTAAAGAAGTCAGGTGCACTCTGAGTCATTGTTACAGTGGCCTTAAGTGTGCACAGAACATGAAAAGGACCACTTAATGTATTTCTTAGTATAAGTAAAGGCAAGGCAAGGCAAGGCAAGTTTATTTGTCTAGCACAATTCGTACACAAAGTAATTCAAAGTGCTTTACAGAATAAGAAATACATTAAAATCATAATAAAAACAAATCAAAACATAAATAATCATGAAGATTAAAGAAGTTGTACCAGTGGTGGTACTTCTACCATAACAGTTAAAACAACACTGCTGCTGTATATGGTTGCTTAAATGGTGGTAGCAGCATGTTGTGTGTATTTGTATTTTTCTGTTCTTTTAATACTAATAATAGTGGTTACCAATTCTTTACATTAAAGGGCTGCAATATATATGACTATTTTGTCACACTTAGCATATTGCAAAGACTGTAACAGAGTACAAATCATTTAAAAGGCCTGCTAACCATGTAGTTCCACCTCTAAGTACCTATGTTTTGAAATGCGTGGTATTCTTGTAGAGTTTAGCATTTCAGTCTTCTCTCAGTTGTTAATGCTCCTGGACTTTGATGAGCATCCTATCAAAGCGTAAAATGCACATCGGAATCCTTTTTTTTTTAAATCACATTCAATTTTTTTCCTAAATCTCATTCTTATACTGTATATTTCTTCTGGCATCAACCACTCCTGAGGCCAAAAACCCATTCAAAACAAAATTATGTTGTTGAAATTGTATGTATTTTATTTTCTTTTGGAATAATGTCTTTCATGATATTAAATTCTATCATTACCATCTACCACAGTAGCGCCTCACATCTCTGTGTACTTCTGTCCACAGGGCTGAACCTATCCTGACCCGAATGAAGGAAGACCACACACGCATCATCCTGCCCGCCATCGACAACATCAAATACAACACATTTGAGGTCCAGCAGTACGCCAACGCCGCCCACGGCTACAACTGGGGCCTGTGGTGCATGTACATCATACCCCCACAGGAGTGGCTGGACAAGGGCGATGAGACTGCCCCCATCAGGTGAGCCGTGACGTATCTCTCCATTATAGATGAGGGCGTTTGATGAAATATGGATAGCCTTGGGATATGACTTATTCATGTGCCCAAACCATCAAACTGAGGTGAGAGTGTGCGCCGCAACCTGCCACCAAAACATACCAATAAATCTCCCAGTACAAAATGGTCTAATTATCAGGATGAATGTGGGTCATTTGAATGCAGGATCACAAAGCTGCAGAGATGTGCTTTCAGTAATTGTGTGTTTTAAATGAGCAGCTTATAATTTAGTTTTTGCTTTGGTCAGGATGACATTTTGCTACAATAGAAGTCTTGCTCATGCATATCTATTTTGGATTTGTTGACCTCTGTCCTCTGCGATTAACTTATCCTTCCATCAGAGCAAACTTCAGTTTGGGAGCTAATGCCTGTATGTCAGGAATACCTAGCTTGAGGATTAGCCTTTAATGTTTGTGTTGTGTTGTGCTGACAAAACCCACTCAGGCACATGGAGAACAGGAAGTTTTTGAGATAGGCCCCATCTGTCTCCAAACATGAATACAAAATGTTCTTATTTGGTTTTACAAATGAAAACTCTTTTAGATTTGAGATGATGCACTTGTGAATATTGTAAAATAAATGTCTCCAGATATCAGGTAAGCATGTCAAATGAAATATAGCTCTTACTGAAAACAACTGTAACGATGATTTATTCTTAATTACAAAAAACATTAGACCTGATGCCCCATGTATTTGTTGTTTTCATTCTCAAGATGATTATCCAGTCAGAAAGTAGCCTCATGTGTGTCTCTTATTTGGTTTACTAGTTTCAGTACTGAAATCCAGTTGATTTAATCCTAAAAGAGCTCTCTGATCTGAATCCTCCCAATCGAAACTCTAGCATCAGCAGCCAATCATTAATCACTTCCTCTGCTGCTACTGTCTGCTGTCTGTCCATATAAGGGTACATCAAAAATAGAATAGTGACAAAAAAAATACACGTTTTCAGTATATTCTAATGTTTTTTTAGATGTACTGAGAATGAGGAAAAATGTATGTGTCATCTATGTGCAGGTTAAGACACTTGCAATCCAAGTTTACCTTTCTTTTTTGTAATTAATATTACAGGCTGCATACAGTTCTACTAAGTTTCAATGTTCTTTCAAAAAAATTCAACCTTAATTTCAAAAGTACTTCCAGAAATCCTGTGGCCATTATTATTCTCATCCAAACTCTCAGTGCCATATAAATGGAAATGCACTTAATTGCTTTGATGTGTGTGTGACAGAGGGGAGCGTGCAGGTAGGGCGCTGACAGCCTTGTGTTCCTGTAGCTCTGCCTGGAGTTGTTTGTTTAAATGGTGGAGGTAGGAGCTTGGTGCACAGGGTCAGTCCATATTAGCAGCATGAAGCAGCTTCTCTATTGGTTTTCATCCTTTACATATTCATAAACACTGCTGGATTGCGAATGTTGCTGGAGGCTCGGTGTATTGGCACTTGAAGCCAGACCAGAATTTAAATTATTGCCGGCATATGAGCCTTTCCTGTAATAATGTCATTGAATTAAAAGAATGGCTCAGAGCTTATAGTGCTGTGCATATATTACACAGGTGGGAGAATCATGTTAACGTATAGAGCACTTTAATAAATGCAAATTGTTTCATATTGCCGTTTTAAGAAGGGTCAGTTAAAAGTCAAGGAGAGAATTATTCATTTTGTTTTGGATGCAAATTGCTTTTTAGAGTCATGAATATTTGAATCCAACTATTTTAAGTCATTCTCTTCACTTACTTAAAAGACAAATAGTTTCAGGCTAAAACTAAAGCAAACTAGTTTTTAATACTAAAAATCATACATGGAAAAAAACTTGCTGCGAGTGGGCTTGTGGCTTCACCTGTTTGTCCCCATGGAGATGATTAGCTCTAATGCCATACTGTGGAAGATTCCAGACTAAGCAAAACATATCCATTCAGAGAAGCAAGTGTCAGACCCTCCATCAGAAAAGTTACTTTGTGCACCTTTAATGTTTTTATATAAACGATCCATTGTTAACACTATCTTGAGTTCAACATGTTTTGTGTAGCAGTACTAAAAACTACTAGATAATCTATAATCCCATTTCTATGTGCACCCTGTTTTTGTAACATAGGAACAGTATCTTGGCAGAGGTTTTATTGTCCAAATATTTGATTTATACTTTTTGTGTATTTATATTTTGATGCCCCTTTCTCTCTACTCCCTCACAGTTGTATAGTGCTATTGATTGAGTATAGTAACATCCAGGTGAGAGATGTAAAAAGGATCAAATCAAACCAGAGTCACACAAAGCGGTTTGGAGTTTGCCATCGACTCGTGTGTGCGTGTGGACAGATCGCCTAAGGGCCGGCTGAAGTGTGGCGGCTGTGAGGATTTCTATTGGAAATCATTGGTCCTCTTGTTTCTCTGAGGTTTCTGCCCATCAACAACGCAAGTCCATTCACAGGTCTGACGGACTTCCCTTTACAATGCTTTGGACTCAGTGAACAATACAAAAGTAAAGAAAGGATCGAGGTGTGCTGAGGTACACTGCTATCAAAAGCAAAAGAGATTTTCTGCGCAGCACTGCTCTATATTGGGAGAGTGAGAGAGCGGTCAAACAGTGTATTCACCTTTTTGTGTGTCATTGAAATTCAGTTCCAAGTGGGCAAAAGCTACTGAAAGACATAGACTGTATAATAGAAGTGGACTAAGTGAGTGTGATGTTACCCATAACGTTCGGTTGCAGCCAAATTAAGCTCAGTGAAGCAAAGGACCATATTTGGAAATCAGAATGCAAAACCAAAGACCCAATTAGGAGTGAGGCTGTTGAAAGTACACACCCCCTTCCGGTCACGCCACTAGTTTGGCACGGGCGGGCGCTTAGCAACAAGGCTGTCAATCAACCTGCTAACGCTAGTCGAAGCAACTCCAAAGAAAGCAGGCACTGAATTGGACTGTCATTAATGTTTTTATCTTATTTTAGAAAAATTAAATATAAAATAAAAACCCTATCATATAGAACAGGTTAATACAAACATTGTGGGACCAAAATGATGAGCCTAACAGCAGCAGTTATTGAGACAGTGGTGACCATTTTTCAATATAAAGTGAACTGCAACCAGAGCTCAAAGGAACCACTTTGTGATGATGCTCACTTCCTATTTTGAACACGCCTGTGAGTGGGGTTAGCGATGACCATATATATGCAGTCGATTAATCTGTCAATGCCTTAGTTGATCAAAATGTGTACTAGTTGGACTAATCTTTTTATTTAAATTATTTTATTGAAAGGATTTATACTGGAGAACAGAAGAGTGAGTTAGCTGAAGATTTGGTATTTTTTGGTATTTATGTAAAAAGGCAGATTCACAAGTTTAATATGTCTTTACACAACCTATAGCTACCTACCTATTTTTTTTTTAATTAGTAGTTATTTTTGCAACTTCTTTGCTGTTGTACTCGAGGGCAGTTTTGGTCAGATACACAAAGATATGTAATAGTTTTGAGAACTTTTGCCACGCCCCCTTTTTAGTCTACTAATCGATCAGCAGGACATGTCTTTAGTCCACCAAGAATTTCTTTAATCAACTACAACTCTAGTATCTTACATAACCAAAATATGCAAATAATACACACTATATATTTTTTTGCTGCATATTATTTGTATCACAGTAAAAAATATGAAAGTAAGGGATGACTTTGGGTGAGTCTTACAGTTGCAATTTTAAAATTTCTATGCATGTAGTTTTTGTGTACCTTACAAATTTCCCATTCCAGTTCTAACATAAAAACACAAACAGCATAAAAAGGCCAAAAAGGAGGAAAAAATGGCTACTGTTTTGGGACCAAAATGTATTTGTGAGTTTAATAACCCTGTACCACCTACTCTCCTGATTTTGAAATGAAACGTCAGCACTAGCTTTATATTAAATTAATACACATTTCCCCAATTTCAGCAAGGTTACAGTCTGAATGAGAGCTGTCTAGTATTTTTGGCACATTCAACAGCAATGACACAGGTCAAGAGCAGCCTTAAATAAAAGTGTGGAAGGCACTGCATTTTAAATCCGCTGATCCGAATGTCAGTTTGGGCCGGGGTACAAGGACGGACTCTCCCAGCAGGCCGACCATCTGCACTCTAAAAATATGCCCTGTACCTAAGGACATGAAGTGAAGCACGGAGGGACATTTCACCATTGCAGAGTAGTAATCAACACCCTGGTTCTGAGCCAAATTCTCTCCTGCTTTGAAATACGCCCACATAAACATCAGGGCACTGGGGAGTAGAAGGAAGGGTGGGGTAACTAGATACTTTTACTACTAGTCGTTTAATTTGATATGTATTTTAACTTTAGGGCTGTAAAATTTTACTGGGTCTGATAAATGAATTGAGTTGCAGTAGGCTGAGCAGTAGCAGTTGTAGCAGTATGAAGTAGTAGTAGGAGTACAAGTAGTAGCAATAGCTGTGTTGTGGTGGATGACATAATAAAAATAAGGCCATGTTTTTAAAGCTCATGGTTATGCCTATATCGACTTTAAGTACAGTCTCCTTGTTTTTGAGCAGACCTAGTATATTAAAGATCTATATTGGATATTTTTGTGTGGTAAAATTAGTTTTGAACAAGTACATTTATTTTCCAAAAGCTTAGGGTCAAAATGAGACACTGTCAATGTGCACTGTTTGCAAGCTAGTTGTCATTAGCAGCGGCATGACGCGAAACTCTGCACTGGCCTCTGAACGTTGTGAAACATTTGTCAATTTTTATTTTTGTTATGTTAAAGGTGCAATGTGTAACTTTCCTGCTGGACAGCCAGCGGCTTGTTTCCATGGAGATGTTTTGTTTTGCCTGGAATTTTCTTCACATCACAGTATTAAACATTTCAAAGAAGCAAACAAGTGACAATGAGTTGACAATGAGAATGCATGCTTTTAAGGTATTTTTGAGCAATAAAAATACATGTAATTTATTTAATGTAATAGATACATTTAATGGCATACTGTGGAAC